CTGGGGATTCGAACCCGCCACCTTAGGTGTACGTGGCTGGCGCCTTAGCCGGTTGAGCTATAGGCGCCGAGCCAATTTTTATATTTTTAGTAAAAACAGAGTCTCACTATTTTTTTTTTTTTGAGACGGAGTCTTACTTTGTCATCCTCTATAGCATGCCATAGTGTCATAGCTCACAGTACCCTCAAACTCCTGGACTCAAACAATTCTCTTGCCTCAGCCTCATGAGTAGCTGGGACTACAGGCACCTGCCACAACACCTGGCTATTTTTAGAGATAGGGTCTCACTGTTGCTCAGGCTGGTCTCCAACTCATGAGCTCAAGCCATCCACCCGCCTTGGCCTCCCAGAGTGCTAAGATTACAGGCATGAGCCACCTCACCTGGCCTCAGGGTCTCACTCGTTCAGGCTGGTCTCCAACTCCTGAGCTTGAGCAATCCTCAGACCTTGGCCTTCCCAGAGTACTAGGATTATTAGCCACCACACCCGGCATCCTATGAATTTTTTTTATCGACATGTGATACTTGTACATATTTGTGGGGGGGGGGACATATTTTTGTACATATATTTGGTACCCTGATTGGTATCAAATCAGCATAAATTGAGATATGGGAGACTGAGGCAAGAGACTCACTTGAGCCCAGAAGTTGGAGGTTGCTGTGAGCTATGATGCCATAGAACTCTACCCAGGGGCACAGCTTGAGGCTCTGTCTCAAAAAAAAAAAAAAAAAGATATAATCACAGATGCCATAGAACTCTACCCAGGGGCACAGCTTGAGGCTCTGTCTCAAAAAAAAAAAAAAAAAAAAAGATTTTCTTCTCCTATTGTTTTTGGGGGAAGGGGGGTGAGGCAGAGTCTCACTCTGTTGCCTCAGGGCAGGCTACAGTGTCTTGGCTACAGTGCCTTGCCTTCAGTGCTCACGGCAATCTCAAACTCTTGGGTTCAAGTGATCCTCTTGCCTCAGCCTCCCCAGTAGCTGGGACTACAGGTGCCTGCCACCACATTTGACTAATTTTTATATTTTTATTTTTTTTTTT